CAGTCAAGGTGATAGCGCAGATTATGCATCATGTTCTGGTAGTGCCTTTGCTACCCCACCCAAGCCATACAGCTAGTGCCTTCTCCCTGTTATATCAAGATGAAGCCAAGAAAGTTCCTCTGCAACTCTACACAGCAATAAAAGGGGATCTCTGGCATCAGCCAAGGAAACTGAGGCACAAGGCACTGCCTCTGCTGCGACCTACCTGGTGCTTCTCTGCTGTAGCACTGAGCCTCCAGCACGCAATACTGTTGTGTCCCCTTGATTTGCTGCATGTGTCGCGTGCTGCCCTGGGCTCTCTGAACTCCTGCCAGTGMCATCTGCATCCCGTTTGGGAACCCCAACCTGAGCAGAGCCTCCAGAAAGATCTGCTTGGGTCATGCAGGTTTGGGCACAGCCTAACTCTTGTGAAATGGAGAGTAACTGGCCTGCAAAGAAGGACTATGATCCCCCAAAGCCTCCTGGGCTGACATGCTTCTGCAAACGTGGTCCATGCTGCACCAAGCTAACATCCCAGTCTGGATTCTGCTGCCTTCTCCTTGTGATGACCCTCTCTGGTTCCTACTTTCTGCACAAGCCCCTTTGTCATATCCTGACAGCTAAACTGATGAACCTGCTGCGAGGCTTTTTCATAATTCTGCATGAAACCTGACATTCTGGGAATGGGAACAGATGAAAAACAGCCTAGATATGGATTTTGTCAGGAGAAAGCTCCCAGYTTATTTGTGTACTCCGTCAGGATGGATGACCATTTTGCCTCATTCATCTACTGCTCTGATCTGTGTCTGACRCAACGGATGTGCACACAGAAGTAATGGTCTCTTGTTAATATGCCTTCAAGCTGCTTCATGAAAAATGAGAGTCTCTACCTGGGACTGCAGACGCTGTTGGGTTTTCATGGTCAGCAGGGTCATGGCCAGCAAGAAAATAGCTGCCTGGGCATCCAAGTGCCCAGTCCTCCCAGCAAAGGCTTGGCAATTTCCTTCCCCTTGGAAGCAGAGGACACAAGAAATGGAGAAATGTGGACCTCCCACCAAGATATCAAAGAGACTTTTCTCATGGCACCAAAGATGGCACTGTCCAGCCTGGCTGAACCCCAGCATTTGAAGGGGTGGCAAGGGCACCAAATGACATTTTCTGTCTCCCCTCCCACATGAGTAAGAATAAAGGGTRATTTATAGCTCCTGGGAGCTTAAACTTCTTGTGTCTGTTGGTCTCGTCTCTACTGCTCTCGAAAGTGTGAGACCACCTCAAGTACCTTCCACCTTCAGTGACTCACTGATCTGGACATTCCCAGCCTAAATGTGTTGGTACTACCAGAATTCCAACACTGTGTGGGTTTTGTCCTCCTCTGGATGCCAGCTCAAGGAGACCACCAGTAAGACCATATAYTATCTTAGCAAGGAAGTTCCCACTGCTGCTGTCCTCTGAGGAGGAGTATTATACCTTACCTGATCCTGTCAAGAGAACGAGGTACCTGGTGCAGATCGGCTCCAGATGGCCTTGCAGGGAAGGCTTGCTCACCGTCTTGGTTCTGCCATCAAAAAGGAAAGTGGGGTGAGATACATGGTGACCTTTTGGGAGCAATATCATGTGAAAAGGAAGTGTGGCTCTGCATGCTTTGCCCAAGTGTCACCTGCCATGTCCTCTTCTGAGCCCTACCAGGGGCATGGGGAGCCTGTGCTTTCTTCCTTAGCCATTCCCCCCGCAGCACAGCCAAGCCAAGGTAAACAGGGGGGTTCTTTGCAATCTCAGGCAAGTATTTGTCAAAGCTCCTTGCCAAGCATGAGCGAGTGAGGATCAAACTGGGGAGAGAGCAGGGCCAATTGTCTCTTGTCCTTAAGATGAATGGCTAACCCAGGAGACAAGACAGCACACCTGATGATAACTTATTGATTGCAGAAAGCTGAATGAGGCTGGAGGGCATAAAAGAGAGCATCTTCACACTTCATTACTCACAGACTCCTGGGAAGTTGCTAACCGTTTGGAGAGGGAGAGAAGATGCCATCCCAGATGATGGTAGTCACCTTGGCAGTATTGTTGGCTTGCTGCATTAACGCTTATCCTGTCTACCCTGAAAGCAACGGTGTCCAAGGTAAGGAAAATGGGATGCATGTTTGTGCATGTAACGCATATGTGTTTTTCTATTTGTGCATCATGTTATAGCTGGCACTAACTGCTGGCTCCAATCATCTGGCCCATATCTAATGTTTCATGGTGGGTTGTCTGCTCCAGACACATACTGTAGTGCAGCTTCCCCCTCTTCTCTTGGAGCAGAAAAGTCTTCTGGTCTGGGAAGATGTTTCCACAGTACTGCTTGGAGTGTTGTACTTACATAGAGTTAAGTAGCTAGATTGCTAGGGTGACCAGGTTGAGCAAAAGAAGACCAGCCTGTTCCTGGGGGTCTGCTTTGGCTGTTGTGATCTGCAGACAGCAGAGTTTGAGTGATATGTTGAGATATTCTGGCATGAGAGATGCAATTGCCCTGGGAGTTAGCCAGGCTGGAGCACACAGACAAAACAGCCCTTTAGACTCCCAGAGCCTGTGTCAGCTACATCTGGAGGCTGATGACTCCATTTGCAGCTTGAGCTCTAAAGAAAGCAGGACTTTAGCCCTGTATCTCAGGGACCTCCACGAAACAGCTGAATTTGGCAAATTCTTGTATCCACGCTCTGCTCCTGTCGCGAGGTCACGACAGTGGAGCCCACAYGTGGGCCCCAACCGAGGCATATTGCCCAGGGTTTCTGGGAACCAAACGTACATGGGCTCTTCAGGTCACTTGGCTGACTCACGGGGACTTCCGAAACTGCAGCAGCTTGGCTGGATGTGTGAGACAAGGAAAACACATCCCCAGCCAAGTTCTTGGGATTCCTCAGTTACCAGAGCCCCAGATCCTGCAGAGCTCAGTGGGAGCATCCTGTGGGGCTGGACATGGGCTCAGCAGGCACTGGAAGGTCAAAGGCGAAGACACCGGAAAACACCAGATCCATATGGTGGTTTCTAATAAAACATAATCTAATTAAACAAGGGGCTTGGTGCCTTAGAATGCACCTACCAGTTCTTCYTGCGGTGACTTAGACTCTCCTTTCCTCAAAGCAATACAGACAGACTGTGAGACAAACTCTGAATTTGACCTAGTCCCCACACGTGTGGACAGCGGTAGATGTGCTCTCGAACGCAATGTGATGCTCTTGAAGAGCAGAGTGAAGGAGTGCTGCAGGTTGGGTGGTCCCAGGGAGCTTGGGGAGGAGATGTTGGTGCCATGTCCACTCTTCTTCTTCTGAGATATGTTTCCTTGGTTCCTGCCCATCATACCGGACTTACAGCCCCTGCATGCTCACGGCTTTTCATACCTATCTGTTGGGTTTTGCTTTGTTTTTCCAGAAAATAAAAGCATTCTCCAGGAAGATGTTCCTGACCGCCTGGTGAGTAGGAGATGCTGCCCTGGCTTTGGGGAGAGTGGTCAAGGGGTACAGTGCTGGGCAGGGGTGTCCTGTGAGTCAGCTCCCCATGAGGTCCCAGAAAACCCTGTCACTGTGGACCCATAAAATGGAGACTGTCTTTGCTCAGAGGCCAGTGCTGTTGCCCACACTGCTTCCCTCCTCAGCTGGGCAGGCAGGGGAGAGGGCTTGGGGGCTGGTTTTGCTGGATGTGCTCTGCACACCCCTGATGGCGCTGGTGTGACCATGGCAGGTAGAAGACCTCAAGGCAGTTCTCTGGAAGATAGTGGCAATGAGTGAGCTCCAGAGCCAGGGATTTACCCAGGAGGACCAGGCCTCTCAGCAACCCAACAAGAGAGGTGAGTGTTGGCTCCTGGTGGGCTCCAGCCACATGAGGTCACCAGGCTACAGAGGCCTGCTCTCCTCTTACTTCCAACCAGAAAGTGCTCTGTATAGCTGACCTGCAAAAAGGTTGGGCACCAAGTATTTGGTGGAGGGTGCCCATCTTGGGGGAAGGATGCCCATGGTCTGGAATGGAGGGTGTCCATTTGGTGGACTAAGGCAGAGCARGCCATCCAGCTCCTGGGATGTGCTCTTAGAAATGACTACAAGGAAAAGAGATGGATGTTGCTCTTCATTTGAGCTTCTCTGTTGTGGCTGGCAGTGCTGCAGCCCCTTGCATAGCTGTCTTTTGCTTTCCCTTCCAGCTTGCTTCTGGAAATACTGTGTCACCAAGTGAGGGACAYGAGAGGAGCTCAGCCTACCACCTGCCTGCCAGCCTGCTCCGTGATGCCTCTACCCAAACATCTGCCAACYCAACTGCCCCCTCTGCACATGACCCTACCTGGACACCACAGCAGTGAAAACTTTCTATTTCCTCGTGGTGGAAAAGGGAGAGGATCTGCAGCAGAGAAGGGGTGTCACASGGAAGGGGAAGAGTCCCATGAGGGTCCACAGTCTAGGACATGTTATTCCACAGTGACATGGCTCTTGCCTGTGAACCAGGTGATCAGTGGGGAAAATTAAAGCCACAGCAAGCCCCATCCCCTTGTGGGGCTTGYGGGCCACCAGCAGGAGCCAAGCGAAGGAAATGACACAGTGCAGGAAGGCAAAATACTGTCCACTCACTAAATAAACCTCTTGCAGCTGAGCACTATGTCCTGCCTTGCTCCGTCCCATGGTTGCTCCATCTCCATGTTGAGCCGGGCCCAGGTTCCTCCTGCTGCTGGGTGCAGGATATGGGTAGGTCACAGTGAAGCATCTCTCCTGCAAGCAGAGCAGAGGGTCTGCAGGGACCTCATGGCTGCGTGAAGCCTACTGAGCCRTGGGTGCCAGGTTGGTGGAGGCTGCAGGTCATGGCTTCTCCTGTGTTAAACCCCAGGAGGGTTTCCACCATGGGGAAGACCCTTCCTTCTCTTCTGTGTGCAGACACACAAACAAGCAGTATTAAAATAAAGTTTATTGTTGTTCTGAGTAAAAAAACAGACAAACCAAAACCCATTAAAAATAAAACCAGTCCCCAAACCCAGCACTATCAGAAGCAGGTTGCAAGGACACATCTTTTAGTACAAAGAGGGAAGCGGTAGTGAGACACAGCGGGTGATTCTGCCATTTCTGTCTCTATAGAGCCTGGTACACCCATATTACAGTATTTAATTAATTAATTAATTAATTCCATTGGCAAAAGACTAGAAGGGATGGCTGAACTCAATAGGTGCTGGCAGGAGGCCTGGGGAGCTGGAGGTATCTGATGGGAATGCAGGGTGGCTATGATTCATCTTGCATCAAAGATGCTGGATGGGAAGGTATTAAAAAAGAGCCAAGGAGGATGGGCTGGCATTAAACATGCCCAAGTATCTTCTGCAAAAATAATGCTTTGCAAGCCAGATTTTGCCTGCTTTCTCAGGCTGACTGGTCCTGGGGTGTGGAAACTACATGAATGTCCTACCCTACACCTCTGCAGATCAGACAGGTACACTTTTGGTGAGGACTAGTGATGTGATGGTAGAGATGCATGTGGCTGCATCTCTTATGGTGAGAGGTGAGGCAGAGACAGTAGCCTGGTGGGGCTTTACACCAGTTGCATGTGGACTCAGGTGTTCAGTACTTCTAGCGTGCTCAGAAAGAATGCTCTGCACCAGGCTGGTCTGCAATGAGATCCCAGTACACTGAGGAGATCCCCATGCTCTGAGCTCTCTGCTGAGCCCCCATGCACCTCCTTCCCAACCTGAGACCTGTCCTGGCACACTCACGACAAGCATCATCCCTAGCATCTACTTGCCCCCTACATCACAACAAGAATTAGATGCACATTGTAATTATTTCTTTAGAAGTGAGGGTAGTTAATCACTGCAATAAACTACAGAGAGCAGAATCTCTAGGGGTCTTCAGCTCTAATGTGGATGCCTTAGTGGAAGGGGCACTAGCTACAGCTCTCACAGAGGAACGTCTGGGTGAGTTCAACCAGCTACATCTCCCATGAATCTGTGATGTGCCAGCATCCCTGGAGACCTGGGTGCTTTGTCCTTTGATTGCTGTGCAGTTTAAGTGGCAGCCATGGAGCACAGGGCCAGGCAGAGCAGGGCACTAGATGCCCATGCAGTTCCAGCAGTGGATGATACAGCAGTAGTTGCCAAGACTCTTTGGGGAATCTCATCTCTTCCACCACAGGTGCTGGTACAAAAGGCTGGTGCTCRGATTTTCCTGTGACGTGGAGTTCCAGGCCATATGGCAGTCCCAGAAGGAAATCTGGTTTTGGTGAACGGGGAAGCAGTTGAAACTGCAGCCAGGTGGTGAGCAGGCCATACACACGCTGAGGGCACATTTGGACTGTGGCCAGCCAGCAGAGGAGTAGAGAACAGCAGTGGCTGTGAAGCAAGGCACTCTTTCCGAAAAGACGGTGGCTAACGACAGTTTCTCTCTCAGCTGGGCTTTGGTTGTGTCAGGAATACGGAGACACAGGGGGTCTGGATGGGGCCAGCAGGCTCCCAGCAGCTGCACTAGGTCATCTTCTTGGCAACGCTGGCGTAGGTGCGCTCTATCTCCTCATCTGCTGGACACGTGTGGCTGAACTCATCGCAGGCATAGGCRTTGTGCAGGTAGCGCCAGACACCCGTCATGTCTGCTGGGATCTCGAAGTCACGGTACTTCTTGGCTGCGATCTGAAGTGGAAGGGCAGGAACAGAGGGGAGAGAGGGAAGCTGAGACGCCAGAAGGATTTGCTTCCCATCGGGAGGGATGTTCATGCTCACATCACCACCCCCAGGCCCTTTACCATGTCCCATCACCACCTCCCAGGGTGGATGCCCTCTGTTTCGGTCAAGTGGAGCCAGTGCTATTACCTTGATAATGTTCAGTTTGGGCAGGAGGTTGCAGTCAGCTAGTGTCAGGTGGTCTCCATCCAGGAATTTTCTCTTGGAGACTGTGACATCCTCCATGCTGTCCTGGTCGACCTCCTCAGGGAGAGGGGTGTTCAGGTAGAGATCCAGGCGGTGAAACTCCCGCAGCAGGGCCTTCTCGAAATCTGGGTGGACAGGGAAACGCCCAGAGTCAGCCTGCAACACCCAACTCTGGTGGCTCCCTGCAGCTCCCAGCACAGCGCCAGGCCCTTCTGACCAAGGTGCTGRGCCTCTCCCTTCATACCTGGGTACCTGGACCCCTGAGGACACAAATTCTGGGAGCAGGGCTGTAGGGTGACATGCATCTCTGTTGGTCATGTCCCTGTGTTATGATTAGATCTGATAGGCCTTTTTGCTGCTAACTGGAGCCAAAAGCGAGGGCCAGCGTGGCAGCATTGCCTCTTGCTGCTGACCTCCAGGATGTGCTCTCAGCAGCAGGGCAGGCTGCCAGGAGTCCTGTCCCGCTGCTAGCGCCTGCGCACAGCTCCACACGGGCCAGGGCCATCAGCCCCACGGAGCACAGAGGGATCAACAAGACTGACTCTGTCCTTCCTGCCTGCTCTTCCGCTAGCTGCGGCGGCTTCACGGGGGATGGCAACAAGCCCGAGGCAGCAGGAACCCCCGCCTTGGAGCTGGGTTTACCCGTCAACAAGCAACAGCTTGCAACAAATGTGCTGTCCCCTCACTGAGGCAGTGTGACAGCCCCTGTGCTGGTGTGTGCTAAGACCCTTCCTCAGCAGCACAGCTCCCCCCAACCACAACCACCCACTGTTCACAGGCAGAGGGCCCCTGAACCCCGCGGGCCGACGTCTCTTACTGATATTTGCTTCCTTGCGCGGGTTCTTGATGTATGCTGAGAACTTGGCAAAGATGTCACTGCCAACATCGAAGGACTCCTTGTACTTGGGGCTCAGATGTGGATACCTTTCAAGARATGCTTTTGTCAGTACGGGCAAGAACAGAGACGGAGATCTGGCTGCACAATCCTTAACCCAGGCGACCATGGGTTGCATGGTGAGTGAAGAGATGGCACCTCTGTTCTGGTTTCCAGTCACCTCCCACCACCCTGCCTCAGTTTTTCTATTTGCCAAGAACTGCTCAATGCTGCTAAGTGCTCTCCATGCAAAGAAAGGGGGAAGGAGTAAGTAATAATTACGTGGGTGGGCCAAGGGTCTGCTCCAGGAACTCCTCAATCTTGATGAAGTCTGTTTTCAGCTCCTTGTTGTACAGCARGAAGGGTGGGTTGGTGCCTGGTGCTAAATCTTTTAGCTCTTCAGGTTTCCTGGAACAAAGCAAATAAGTGGTCTCAGAGCCTGCAGGCTTTCTGCACCAGCCAGTTTCCCTAGAGCAAGGAATAAGACCTGGATGGGCACATGGGAGGGCACAGAACCAGGAGCATCCCCATCTATATTCTCTGATGGTTTGGCCAGGGCCAGGGCTCTCCAGCCTGTCTGCCTGCCTTGGACTTGCAYGCAGACAGATATCCATGCAGATGGATGCTGTCCTTGTGCACACGTGCACATGAATGCAGCTCGATGCTGGCCCATCCATCTGTGCATCCCACTGTGCAGGCAGGGACACGTGGGGCAGGAATTGTCACTGCTGTCCGTCTTACAGTGAGGCTCCCGTGCAGGCTGTGCTGCAGGAGCAGGACCAGGGCAGCCCATGCTGCCAGGGGTGTTTCAGGGAGGAGAGTGGAGCCGTGGGCTGTCACATTATACAGGTTCTGGTGGCAAAGAGCTGTGATGTGGTGTGATCTCACCTGGTCATGTCCACTGTGGTCACGTTGAATTTGACTCCTTTGAGCCACAGCACCATGAAGAGGCGCTGACAGAAGGGGCAATTTCCAATGTTTTCTCCATCCATGCCAGCCTGCAAGGAAAGCAGAAAAATCAGGGATTTAACCAACTGTCTGTCTACTTAGAGATCTTTCGGGAACCTGTGCCAGGTTCATGAATGCTGTACACTGGGGCAAAGGGACCAAGTCCTCTTGAATGTGCTCCGCCTTTACAAAGCCCTAGCCCACAAAGCCAGGCTCTTGTAGAGCTGCCAGAGCTGAACACAGGAGGAAGGCACYCCGAGGGCATGGCCTGAGCCCTAGCCTAAGCCGTAGGTCCCTGCAGAGAGCCCATTAAYGTAGCTCTGCCCTGCAAACTGACCCTGTCTTGATGCTGCAGGGCCCTCCTTTCTGAGCCATGGTCCTGCTGCTGTTGGAAAGTGCTGGAGACTGTCCTCAGGATGACCAGGGTCGGATTCTCCTTCCCAGGATGTAAGATAAAGCAGGGAGGAGGAGGAGGCAGGGGGAAGGAGGTGGAGGGTGATTGATAATAGATGAGGAGGAAGGGAGGAAGGGAGGGTCCACTTGGCTTGAAGGCCAGACTCAGGAGGGCGGACACAAAGGGAAATGTGCTCATGTTTGCCAGGAAAAGAGTGGTTTGTTTTTGTGTGCTTTTAGCGTCCAGCTTTTTCTTTTGTATTTAAAGAGAAATTCCCGAGGCTGAGGATGGCCAAGAGCCACACAAACAGTTTCCCTCACCTCTGGGAGGAGAAAGGACCACTTGCTCGTGCTTTCCATTGCTCTCCTGCCTTAGCATCAGGCTGAGGAGTGAGGAGTGCCTGCAAATTGCCCATTGAACTGCACCAAAGTACCATGCTGGCCCAATGCAACGAGTGGTCCTGTGCTGGGGGAAGCTGTGCAAGAAGCGTGGGACAAGGGTAGGATGGACAGGGCTGGCTGTCACAGCCCAGGGATGCTGCTTCTGCAACCCAGCCTGCCTCTGCTGACCCATCTGGCGCCTCTCTGCAACTGCCATGCATCTCCAACCTCTGAACATCCCAAGGAGTTTTTTCCCTCTTGTCTTTTAAAAACASGCAGGTGGGTGATTATAGACCAGAAAGGAAAATCAGGAGAGCCCCTGTGGGAAAAAATTAAGCCAGGCTCACGCTCAGGTGCTCCGAGCCAAATCTTTATTGAGAGAAAATGGGGGCAGTTCCACTGGYGCTTGAACGATGACTAGAGTGAAGGGCTGCAGTTGGCCCGGCAGGTCCAGGGAGCCCTGACAGCCACTAAGGCCCAGGAGGGCCCTGTGCACCCGCGCACACAAGGGAGCTCTGAGGAAAGAGCTTGCAGAAACCCGCAGCCACGTGCCTTCCTTCCCCAGCAAAGCCCGAGCAACGCGGAGGGGAAGTCTCTGCTCGTTGCTTCCTTTCTAGAAAGTGCCTCTTCTCCTGCTGCAACCAGGCAGACGCTTCAGGATGCAGATCCCACCAAGGGCTGCTGAATGCCTGTCCATGGAGCCGTCACTGGCAGTGGGTGGGGGATTTTGGTCTGCGCTGGTCTCTCCATAGAGACTACCAGAGGGTTGGATATGGGCAGAGGGGTGGCACAGAGAGGGGCAGGGTTGGGGACAGCACAAATTTTCCAGGGCCGTCCACGCTTTTAGCCAAAACTCTGCACTGTTGCAAGGASTTGAACGTGAAACACCCAAAGTTCCTCAGAAGCCCTGTGTTTCCTTCCTTGCATAAAATATGGTGGGAGGAGGGAGGCGATGAGCATGCCGGGGCAGCGAGCAGTATCCCAGGCCCTTCCCAGCGTCTAAAGATGACAAGTCGGGAACAATGAGAAATCCTTCACAGACTCCTGGGAAACGCCACCCCCGGATGTGAAGGCAATGTGGGGAGCTGCCTCACACCTGCCCCATCGCTGCCAAGCTAATGCAGCCCGTGCTGAAAGCTCCGCCAGCCCCGACACGGCATCGTGCACTGGTGCACGCTTGAAGCCAGGGCGCTCGCGTGAGTCGCCCATCCCAGGACAGCCGTGATTTACAGCCGTCACCATAAATCCCGGCACCAGCAGCGGTGTCTCAGAGGCCAGGCTGCTGCCAAGGAGGCATGTGGGGTGCCCAACACCTCATGGCACTGTGGGTTGCTCTTTGCTTAGCCCCCTTGGATCAGACCCGACTTCAATAAATCGGCGTCTCGAAGGGCAGGAGAAAGAGACGCGGCGTCAGTTTGTCTGCTAACTTGTCAGAGGGGGTTTTCAGAGCTAAATTAAGATTTAGGGGAAGTTCCTGACTAAGCTGTTGCTTTGTTTTCTGTTTCTCTTCCCCATGACAGCCCCTCAAGCCTCCTGCTGCCGTTGCAGCAGCCTGCGCGCCGTCTTCCTCTCGGTACTAGACATCCAAGGTGGCGGGGCAGGAAACGGCCTGCGAGATGAGAGCTGACGCCCGCCTTGCATCGGCAAGAAAATGCACCCGCCAGCCTCCACGCTGCACAGCTCGGGCCTGGCAGCCCTCCTGAGGCCACCACAGCTCCAACCACAGAGACAGGAGAGACCGCCTTCTGCTAAGGCACCAGTGATCCTCTCTGACATGTTATTTCAAACCACATCCCTGCACGAGGAAGGCCCTCGGTGCGGCGCTCACGTGGGCCTGCGCTCAGCACGACCYGCTGCGCTGGCGGGACACGAGCTCCCGTGGACGGATGCCGTGGTCCTTCAGGACACGTGGTCCTTCAGGACACGCTGCTCGGCTGCCCAGAGGCCGCGTRAGGAAGTGTCCTCAGCGCCATGGTGGCACCGAGCGGCCTCGTTCTTCCCCTGCTCGCTTGCGACACGAGAGCCGCGCGCCCAGGGCCGCGTCCTGCGCCGCGGCCGGTTGCGTGGGTGTGTGCCGGGGATCCGGGCCTGGCTCGGCTCCCCCTGCTCCCCGTGCGTGTTTGCAGCGGCGGCAGGGAAATGTTCCAGAGGAAGTGTTTGAAAAGTTGCTTAACGGAGTTAAAAGGCATTTCCAGCGAATTACCCCCTCAGGCTGACCCGTCCCTCCCTCCGTGTCCGCCCCCACGCGGGCGCTCCCCAGCCCCACCGGGGCCTTTCACAACTCCGGCAAGAGAGGGAACCGAGGCGGCTGCTCCTGCGTTTCAGCACTGCTCTTCCCAGCCCTGGGCTGCTCTCCGGAGTCCCTCATATGTCCACTCCACCATTCCTGACAGCCGCTACCCGCCGCGCTGCCCCAGGGCCAGGRCGCTGCCACGGCCGCCCCGCCAGCACCGTGGCCAGGGCTGGGTGGCACCTGGCTCTGAGACGGGCGCCACGTCCATCCCTGCCCTGCCGACATGCCCAGGGCACCCCCACGGACACGTCGTGATCATCCCACCCACCCAGGCTCCGCGCTCAGGCAGGGGGAGCTGGCCAGAGGAGCCCCATTTCCACACTGAGTTACCCTCAGTCAACAACAGAGCCCCGGGGGCACTCACCTTCACAAAGAGCTCGATCTCGGGCTCCTTGGCGGGGCTGCGCGGCTGGCTCTCCATGCTGAGGGCACCGCTGGCGGCTCTCTGCCGGGCTGAGTCAACCGCTGTGTGCCAGGCGGCCCGGCGGAGCGCGCGGGAGGCGTTCCCAGGCCGGCTCCCGCAGCCCCCTCGCGCTCGCTCGCTCCCCGCCGAGGGCTGCGGCTTTGCCCTTTCCTTCCTCTCGGGGAGGAGCGAGGGGGTGTTCGCAGCGACCTGCCAGAGGCGTGAGGGGAGCGGCGGAGGCCTCCCAGATGTTACTCAGCACAGTTTATCTGCGTTTACAGGTCTATCGGGCTGCCGTCTATCAAGCCCGTCCAGGCGCTGCCCTCCAGGCTCCTAGCCGTGGGCTCGCAGCCCAGAAAGTCCCGTCGCTGATGCGGCAACCCCACGCTCGGCAGCAGGCTGGGCTTTTCTCGCACAGGAAATGGGCAGGAAGCCTCCCGCACACTGGTTCTCTCTCTGGCCCGGCCCAGAGGGGAAGGTCTTCACCTCCTCCATGCTCCCCTCCTTGTGCCTGGCTGCCCCACGCTGCACCCCTCAGAGTGGGGGATCTGCCCCCTGCCAGAGGGACCCCTTGGTGCCAGCACCTACCACATCCTTCTGGAGCTGCCTCCAGCAGTGCCCTGCACGGGGAGCCCAGCCGGGCTGGTGTCTCCGAGCGGGTCCCACCACTCACCCCCAGCCCCTCTCTCCTCCGGATACATTGACCTAAATCCGCCTCCATCCCCCCCACAAGATCCCAYGTTGCAGACACAAGTGCAGCTTGGGAGGGAGAGGACATCTCCTGCCCGCGTCCACCGCTCAGCGCAAGTTGCAGAGGAGCGAGGCAGGGAAAGACAGGGGCCGAGCGAAGCAGCTTGGCTGTCTGCCACCCCTCCCTGCAGCTTGCTGAGGGCTGCCAGGGTAAGGATTTTTGGCAAAAGAACGGAGGAGAGAAAGCCCGGAGCATGCTAGGGCCCACGGGGAATGCCGGTGTGCTGCTGGCAGCAGCTCAGCTGGGGCCATGCATCACAGGGTGGTGGGAAAGGGTGATCCCATCAGGGCCCCATTCCAGGAACTTGGGCCGATTCACAGGAAAGATGACTAGCCCACTTTCGTTCCCAGGATGGCGGGGAAGAGGGAGCTGCTCCACCCCGTCTGAGATGGGCTTCCCAGAACCCACAAGGCTAAGGCAAGCAGAGCCATAGTCTTTTCTCTCCAGATCCTAACTTGAGGAGAGGAGATGAGGAAGAGGGAGAGGAAGGAGATGATGAAGGCTGCTCCATCCAGAACGGAGGTGCTGACACAAACTAGCTGCCCTGGAAAAGAGTGATATTTTTTATCCTGTGTCAGCTGTGTATGGAGAGGGTATCCCCTCTACAGATGCATAGCTGGTACCAAGCACAAACCACATAAGATGGGGAGGGTGGGTGCACCCTTGTTGCCTGGTGGGTGGGCACCCAATTAATGAAGAAGGCCAGTCCCCAGGAAAGGTCCCAAAGAGGATGATGCTTGCTGAGCTGGCCTGTTCTCAGGACAGCCCACAGGTGGAGGTGACGAGGCTTGAGGCCCTGTGCCAGTGTCCTGAGCCCTGCAGCTGCTTTTCCTACAGCTCCTCATCCCTGTTCTTTGCCTGTAGCAGAGCTCTCGTGGTTGGAGCTGGGGCAAGTGCCCATGTTGGAGGCAATGCTGTTGCTTAGGTGGAAATGTTAGTTAGGGACATCCTCAGCTGGCCTCAGAGCTGGGAGAGAGGAGCCAGCGATTTCAGGGCTTTGTGCTGCACAGCTGCCGCGAGCAGGGTCTGTGTTTTTCTGCCTTCCAGGGAGCMCTAACTCGGGACCTATCTCGGCTCCTTCTTCCTGAACAGCTCCTGTTCTGGACCCGTGCAGGAAAYGTTCCCTGGGCTTCGCAGCATCCCAGTCCCGGTGCTGCTCCGGTTGAGCGATGCCCAATGCTGAGCTCTGTGTCAGGGCTCGCTCCGCTGGCTGGCACCATGGCACTGTCCTTCTCCACTGACCTCAGCCTTGGAGCAAAAGGGTCTCTCCGCTGGGATGAGAACATCTGCAACTCCCAGCTGAAGGAGCACATCCACAAGGACTCCTTCTGCGGGAGGAGGTCGGGCAGCTCTGCTCTTCCATGTTCAGTTGTGAACCGCCAGAATAGCTGAGATGGAGACTACAATGTGCATATATCCTGATTCCTGGCTACGTGTCACCGGGAGAAAGGGAAGTGATACACCAGGAGTCTTGCCAGCACCTGCACCTCCTCTTTGGAGGGTGAAGGATGAGGAGGGGAAGGGGTTGCTGCTTTCCCCAGGGGCAGCAACCGTTCTCAGGCTGCCCTGAGGCTCAGCACCCACTTCTGTGTGCTGCAGAGCACCTTCTTGAATAAATTCCCCCTCTCCCCAAGTGGTCATCCCCACTCCAACAGCATCCCCATGGTCTGCCCCGGCCCCGGTCCCTGGCTGGCGTGCAAAGCTAGCGAGCCCCCGCGCACACACCCGCGCCCTCCCAGCTCCCGGGAGCCTTGGCGAGGCAAAGAAACGAGTCTTTGTCAGCACCCGGTGCCAGCCCCRGCCCCAGAGCCAGCTGACGCCAGGGACCGGCAAGACCTCTCCAGCGCGGACCGCGGGCGGCACAGGCATGGGGCCGCGGCTCGTGGGGCTGGCGGCAGCTCTGGCCCTCCTGTGCCTCCCCGACGGGGCCACGGCAGCCCCCGAGTTTTCTGGTGAGTGGGGCTGGTGTCCGGGGGGAGCYGGGGACACGGCTGCCGGCAGCCGGGTGATGTGTCCGGAGAGGGTGGGGATGGCAGTGCTGCTTCCTCGAATTGTGCGYGCCGGGCGGGCGCTCCTGGCACCGCCAGGGCAGCACGACGGGAGAGATGGGAYGCGATGGGGAGCAGGGGGTGCAAGGCAGCCCAGGCCACGCTCACCTCTCAGAAATACACATATATTAGCTATTTATTATCCCCAGGTCAGAGCTGGGATCCGGGAAGCTCTCCTGTACGTGTGTTAACCCTTCCCAAAGGCGAGCCCAAAGGCAGGAGAGCCCAGCAGCCGCTGGCCACAAAACGGTTTGAGAGGAACCGCTCGTCTGGGTGGAGACCAAAAGCGGATGCGCGGAGGGTATTTTGGGCCGTGGTCAAAGCCGGCCACATTCACCTTCCCCCGCGCGCCGCCTCGCGCAGCAGCGCGGCAAGATGCTTCGCAGGGAGGGCTGCGGGGGGAGAGGATGTGATTTCATCTGGGCTGAGTTAACTTCACAACCAGGGACGGGGACTGAGTCACCGGAGCCGCTYCGCTATTGTTCCCCTGGCACGGAGGTCGGCGCCAGCACGGCAGCCCGGCCGCGGCGCGTGCAGCAGGGCTTAGGGGGACGTGGGACCTATGCACCCTCCCGCAGGGTCCCTCTGATCGAGAATAAAAACTGCCGGTCCCGCGAAGTGTGGCCTGGGGTGCCTTCTGCAAAGCAGCAAGGGGAGGATCTTGTCCAAACTTGCAAATAAAAATCAAGTTAAAACCTTGCGGTCAGTAGAGAGCTCCGGTCCCTTGCACTAGGGAAGAGCAGYGTAGGGTTTGCACTTGAGCATGCACACCAGGGACGTGTGTCCTGAGTCCTTGAGTCTTCATGAGAGATTTAGAGGGTGGCTTTAGGTGTTTCTCTGTGACAGTGATTCAGGAGCAATTTCTCTGGGAGCACTTTGCTGGAGCCCTGGAGTCACTGCAAGGCTCAGTGCTTTCTACCTGCTATAGGTATGTCCAGGAGCCGATCCCTGGGTGGCAGCTTGATCTTCTCAAAGCTTTCCAGAGGAGAAGCAAGGCTCTGGAAAGCCAGCCTTGCTTCTCCTGCTGCAGAGATGGGACTTAGGACATAACAGAGAGACAAAAATGTCTGAGAAAGGTCACGTCTCCCCCTTTCCATTCCTCCATCTCTGTTGGCACCATGGCCMAAGTGAAGCCTTCAGTGACAGGTGGCTCTTACCTGGCGAATGCAAAGAGTAGAGAAATGCCAGCAGCTGGTTGTGTCCGCAGGAAAAATTAACCCGTGGGCAGGAGCAGCTCCCAGCTGCCCACCCCGACTGTCCATCCCAGTGCTCTGGAGCGCAGCCCGATTCCCGGTGCGGGAGGGCTCGTCTCAGCGCTGGTGCCGCAGGAAGGTGAAAAGGGGCCTTTGTGTGGCCGAGCCTGGCACCGGGGTGTCCGGGCGGRTACGGGGGAAGCGCGGCGCTGCGCCCCGGCACCGCGCGGGGCTGCGCCCGCYGCAGCTTGGCCTGTCCCCGTGCTGCAAGCGCTCGAGAGCTGCAGCCTCGGGGACAGCTGAGGCTGAGGTCACCCTGCCCTCGGCGCCCTGGTTTGCCTCCCAAGCCCTCTCTCCTGCATCTCTCACTATTCAGGGACTGGGGAAAGTGGAAGGCATGGTATGGACAAACCGTGCCAGTGCCTGTGTGCTTAATGATGAAGTCCACCACCTTGATGGTTGGGATTTCTTTCTCAAGCACCTATTGCTGCTGCAGAGCTTGTGGGTTAATGCTCAGACACCATGGCAGTGACCTAGCTGGGGTCCTGCCTCTCCTCACCTCAGCATCTCAAAGTGCAGCATCTCCTTAGATCTTATAGCCCTGTGCTTTGTCTTATGTTAGCCTTTCATGATTCCTTGGCCTCTTCCAGCAAACAGCATACTCAGAGCATCCTTGGCAGCTTTCAGAACAAATTTGGTTATTTTACATGTCTGAGGACTTGGTCCAGGAATGAGTTAAAGGCATGAGCTAAGACACTTCTTCAGTTTAGACCAGAAGGCTCCATGTGGTCAGTCATCTGCAAGTTCCTGCAGCTTCCTGAGCTGCGTTGTTGGGCTGTGCATGACCTCACCCCACCCTGGTGACATGGATAGGACTGGCTTACACCACCACAATGGATTTCCAGTCAAAGAAAGCTGGGTTTACATGGGCTCAGCTGTTGTTTAGTAACTTGTTGAGTCACATCAACCCAGCCACTTGCTGTCTCCATGGCAAATCCTCCTTCTGGGTATTCCTCACTGGCTTTGAACTCCGTTAGCTGTCCCAGCAGCTGCTGCTGCTCTCAGGAYGGCAGGAGGACTGACCCCTACCCTTCTCATCCTGCTGCTTCCCAGGCTTCCTGTCCTTGTGGCAGGGACAGCGGGACAGTTCCTGAGGCAGCTGCTGGGGCTTTCCTCCGCTCCAGCTCACAGCTCAGCATTGTGCAGCAGAGAGCTTTTGGCACTGCAGAATAAATTGGACAGCGGTGGTTTCTGGCCCATTCCTGCTCTCTCCTTTATGACAAGATTATGACTTTCTTAAAACCTTTTATGAGCCCACATGTGATTCTCTCACATGTGCCTTTCTGGCCTGCCTCCCTGTCTCCAGCTTCTGTTGGTTACTCAGCTCAGCTGGTCTATATTGCTTTCCRGATGAGTGGCAGTAACACTGCATATAGACCTTGCTGCCCAGGRCATCCCCCTTTGCCATCAGCGGATGGGAACTTAGGCACTGCCATCTCCAGGGCCTTGGTACCTCCTTCCTGGCTCTGTCCACCATTCCCTATGTTCTCCCCTGTCAGGCTACCTGCGCAAGGTGCTCAAGAACCACACTCTCCACACCTGTGATGGGGAGCAGCTGATCATCATGTGCCCTCACAAGACCACTGTGAGCATCCTTGGAGCCTTCTACGGGCGCCGTGTGCCCAGCCCGCACCTCTGCCCCAACCCCGGCAATGCCTCCGAGGAGAGCATCGAATGCATGTCCACCACGGCCCGCCAGGTAAGGAGAACCTTCCAGGATGGGCAGCCTCACGGGATGGTGCTACATCTCTCCATGGATTAGGGGCTCCCCATTAGGGTCACATGGCTGGAAATGTCACTGCCTCTGCTCTCTCCTACAAGTACTGGTCCCGTCTGTGCCAGGATTAACCCCTGAAATTTCCAGTAATGCCCCTTTTTTCCCCAGAAAAATTCTGGGATACAAGTCCTTCTGTGGTGGGAGAGACACTGCTGCATCCTGAGCTGCATTTTTGAGAAATGATACGGAACAAAGTCGGCCTTGGCGTTGGTGCAATGCTCATGTGCTAGGGCAGGGTCCTGTGTCCCGCTCAGCTTTGGGAGCTGGGAACCAGGAAGCACCAGGAAGAGCAAAGCTCATCTTGGGTTGCACTAGCCCCTTGGGAGACCTGAGAGGTGGGAAGAGAAGCCAGGTGTGCCTGGTCACTGAAATCACTTGGTTCTGGCTTATTTTAAGGGAAGCAGGAGTGGGTTTAGTCATAGTCCTGCTCTGAAGTAGGAGGAAAAATTAAGCCCAGCTGCAACATAGAGCACTGCACCCTTAAGTCTGCCTGCYTTTCCCTGCTGGTCACCGGGCTCTGGATGAACTCATGGCAGCTGGGAGCCAGGGAGAGGTGCTGGGCCTGGGCAGGCAGGTCCCTGCGATCCAGGGTAAGGGGCTTGGGGCTGAGTTGCACGCACTGTTTTTCTATTCCTGCTCCAACCTTTTGCTAGTGCTGAGGTTACCAGAGTGAAACAAGATGTATACAGTGATGAGAGAAGAGCATGAAGCTGGAAAACAGGAACAAGGGAAAGGCCAATTCCTCACTCCGTTGGCCTGTGCGGTCTTTCTGCTTGGTCCTGCTCCAGCCACAGATCTCCTCACAGCTTCTCACACATCCCCAGGAGCTCAGCAAGAGCCAGGGCTTCTCTGTCAGCATGGCACAAAAGCCAGCCAGGAGGCTCCCCAGCAAACCACACTGCAAACATCTCGGYTCAGGGTGCTCCAAGCCTGTGGGTGAAGTGGCTTGATGTGGTGTGATGGGCTGGAGGATGCGGTCAGGATCTGGAAGCTGAAGGAATAGCTGTAAACAGCTGTGAATGGTCGGGATCTATGTGGACTGTATTTTATGGGAATCCTCTCTATCTGTGATGTCTCCCAGGGGACATACAGCAAGGTCCCATGTGAATGCTCCTCACCCAGAGCACTGCAGAATCCAGTTGTTGTAGCCACTGTGTTGGTGGCAATTGCTGGTGCAGGACGGACACTCAGAGTGTTTCTCCTGCACTCCTGCTCAGCACAAAGCTAGACAGTGTCTCGCTCCACCAGCAGCTGAAGGGAAGGGGCTGGACTTTGTGCTGCAAGGGAGCACAGAGGAATTGCTGCTTCTCTGGCTGAGAAGTGAGACTTAGCAGGTGGGACAGGGCACTTTTGCTATAGACACCTGCACTTACCCTCTTGCTCTACCCTCTTCCATCCCACTGTGGTTCAAGCTCAATGGCCCAGCCTTTCAGGGAGATGGAGAAGATGAGGACCGAGGTCCCGCGGATCTCATCAGGGTGGCAGCTCCAGTCTGGGTTTGCTGCTGTCCATCACATCTCAGCTGCAGCTGGCCCCCATACACCCTCCTGTCCCTCCTTCCAGTGCAAAGCGCAGCTGTTCCCTGCCAGAGAGGAAGGGCTCTGTCTTTGGACAGACATCCCGGATCTGAGGGATCACCATGTCGCTGTAAAACAAAAGTGGGAGCCCTGATCTGCAGCAGTTGTGCGTGGTTGCTCTCAGCCGACTGAAGAGAGGTTCTTTATGGCAGCACGAAGTGTCCTGCTTCTAACAGCAGCTTGGCAGGCATGAGGGAAAGGCAGCAGGAAAGTCACACACTGGGTAAAGCACAGGGTGCAAACCAGCCTCCCTTCACACCAAACACACACATGTGGGGAAGGATGCCCAGAAGCAGATCTGTCAGAGAAGGAGGAAGGTCTGGAGAGCAGGRATCAAAGGTGCTCTTGAGACTTAGCTTAGGGAAGACTTAGGGGACAGATTAATTGTATTTCCTCCTCAAATTTCACTTCTGCTGTCTGGCTGTCATTAAAGACCAAGAAGAGCTTTATCCACCCACCTCAACTCAAAGCTAAGCTGCAAGTGTGGCAGAGAGGAAGGAGATAGGACTGGAAAAGGAGAGAGAAGTAAGCCATGGGGCCTGGGGACTGTCTCAGGTGTGGGGACCATTGGGGCACAAGTCAGCGATTTCTCGGAGAGGCTTGGATAGGAAGAGCCCACAGACGGTTAATCTCAGCCTGCAGCAGCATTTCCAGCATGGCAGTGCCGAAATCACGGGCTCGCCTTGCATGCCCTGCTGTTTCAGCAGCGWTGCCTTCGGCCCCAGCCCAGGGCAGCTGTGGTTCAGCTGGGCTGCCTGCACACGGGCACCTCGTTGCACCATCCGGGCCAGGGTGCAGGGTGAAACCTCTTCCCCATCTTGTGGCCTGCTGCAAGCATTGCACGGGGCCGTGCAGGCGTGCAAGGAGCCGCCTTAGCACAAGGATGCTGCAGGGAGCACAAGAACAGCAGGGAGCTGTAGGGGTCCGTAGGACCATGCACGGCCGTGTGGGCGCTGCGCAGAGCGGTGCCCTAGCACAGGCACAAGTGCTGTGCTAGTGCAGGGCCCAGGTCTGGGCTGGACTACGTGTTGCATGGGCACAGGGAACCCAGGCTGCTCCATGAACCTGGAGCACCCACAGAGCGAGGAAGCAGGGCTAGGAGCAGTCCTATGCACCCATGTGGGGCGAGAGGCCATTCCTGGCCTGGTGATGCCACCGCGGGGCAGGAGGAGAGAACAGCTTCAGGACTCTATGTGTATCTTCATGTCTGTCTCGTTTGCTTCACCAGAAACTGCTGGATGAGTGCCAGGACCAACGATGGTGCCAGTTCTCAGTTCACAGCCAAGTCTTTGGGCCAGATCCCTGTCCYGGGACACACAAGTACCTTGTTGCTTCTTACAAGTGCCGACCAGGTGAGGTGGATGAGGTTACAGCAGTGGTGTGAGCTCTTTCCCAGACCAATGAGGCAGATGATTCTGTCCTCAGCTCTTCTGTCAAGCAGAAATGGGGGGAAAGTGAAGCTACTTCTAAACCCAGCCGTCCTAGTTCAGTGACAGCCTAAGTTTTGGGCTAGGGGCTGAACTAAGCAAGGGCGGGAGGCTCAGGATGATTTGAGCTTCATTGGGACCCTCTGGTTGCTTGCCAGCTAACCATCGCATCAAGACTGTGTGTGAGAACGACAAGCTGAGGCTGCAGTGCCGGCCCAAGTCCGTCCTGGCCATCTACTCTGCAAGTTACGGACGGTTCCTGCGGGGCAAACCAGAGTGTGATGCCCCGAACACCGAGAGACCTCATATAGGTATGTTGGGATGGGCTGAGCTAGAAACTTGGCCAGAACCCATGCACAGAGTCACACTTTGTGTGTGTGTGTGTGTGTGTGTGTATGTATATATATGTGTCACACTATGCAGGGAAATAGGGATGCTATGTCATCTCCTAAGACCAAGCCCCAAGAGCAGACCTGATAATTTGTCACGTGCGCATGTGTGGCCCGCTCAGAGCTCAAGTGTGTGAGAGGCCCTGGATGCCTGAGCTCACACGCAGCACTTAGGGCAGAAGGTCTCTGAGAGGGCCCCACATCTCCCTGGAACCTGGGCAGCAGGATGTGCTGGTGGGGGCCAAACACGTTGCACTCCCCGGCTCTTGCCGGGCGCACAGGATTGTCCCATCCATGGGGACCACCAAGCCATGCTGTGTGTCGCCCAGTGGTGACACAGYTGCCTCCCGCTACGCTGTGTGTCCCCAGAGTGTTTGGCTCCCGATGCCTTGCGGAGGGTTTCCAAGAAGTGCCACCGGAAGGAGAACTGCACGGTGACCGCTGACAGAGCCACCTTCGGGGACCCCTGCTTCCCCGGCATGAAGAAGCAGCTGCGRGTCTCCTACACGTGCGGTGAGATCCTAGCGAGGGGCTCCGGAGCTGCCAGCGGGGCTGGGGACGCCGGGGACCTGCTCAGGACCTGCTCAGGTCCTGCTCCATGGGTAGTGCTGTCCCCTCGCTGTACAGGGCCAGGCTCCCTGGGGACACACGGGCAGGGGACATTTGGGGTGCCCTTTGGGGAGGCCCTGCGTGTCCTCGGGCAGCGCCGGCTACTTGATCTCACCAAGGCCAGCCTCAATACGGTGCCCGCTCTCATTGCAGTGCCCAGGCAGCTGCTGGAGGAGGTGGGCCCTGACACCTCGGACCCCTTTCTGCTCTCAGACTACACGCACGGTAAGGACCAGGAGCTTCTGCATGGCTCCACACTGCAGCCTTGCCCAGAGGAACACCCTCGTGTCCTGCCCATGGGAGCTGGGTGCTGCTCCAATTAGGAGCTGCTCAGCACGGGTGAGCCCCGGAGCGGCTCCTTCAGTCCCTGCATCTTTCACCCTGCTCCGTGGGTGCTCTCAGTCCAGCACTGCTCCCATGCCCTTGCCAGAGGGACTTGCTCACGCCACGGTTGTCCCCGGAACTTGGCACCTTCTCCCTCACAGGAGTCTGCAAGCCCTCCCTGACTCTTGTCCAAGGGAAAGCCACCCTGCCCTAAATCCGGGGACGAGGGAGCATCTGCACGCACCACAGGCGCTTTGGGCTAGTGTGAATTGAGCTGGCGCTGGCCCTGGAGCTGCCTTCCCACGGCGTGGCAAAACCTGCCCACAACCTGTGCCAGAAACCGCTCATAGTTCCTTAGCTGAGCAAAAGGAGCCCTGGAGGAGAGGCAGAGATGGGGTCTGCATGGGGAGGAGAGGGGAGAAGGTCCTGCAGAGGAGCATTTCCTTAGGGAGAGGAGAGCTTTCCTTAGGGAGAAGGATGCCCTGGGAAGGAGGCAGGGAGCCAGGCGAAGGGGAAGGGTCATGGGGAGCGCCTTGTGTCTCAGTCCCTAAGACCGTGTCCCCTTGTTCGCTGCAGGTGGCTGGTACAAAGGGCCCAGGTTCTCCAGGCTCCGGGAAGACCTGATGATTTTTACTAGCTCTCTGGAGGCCTTTGCCCACATTTGGGGTATGTGCCCTGGCTCTCACACAGYGCCCTGAGGAGTGGGATGGACCTGGAGGGGCAAGAAGCTCTGAGAGATTGAGAGGGTGGCTCAGGTCCCTGCTCGATCCAGGCTCAGCACCGTGGGCTTGCAAGTCAGATCCCAAATCCAGGRATCAGATCCACTTCCAGAAGGACTGTGCCTGCGGGGCCCAGTCAGCTGGCACATGGGGAAGCAGAGCACTGAATGCCCCCGTGGCTTTGATTTGGCCACATCAAGGAGGCAGTGAGAGATGGAGCAACATGATAGAGGCTCAAAGGTTGAATGACCTGTGAGACTGCACAGTGCCTAGTGCTGCCCTAGTGCTGCCCAGGCCTTGGTGCTGCTGCAGCCCTGCTCCTCGTGCTGCCCTGGACCTCCTCTCCCATTGGAGGTTTCCTGAAGGGGCTCTTGGCCTTGCTCCCATGATCACGGGTTCTTCTTAGCCCCAGCCCTGCAGCTTGGGTGTCCTCTCCCTTCCTCTTCCTCCTGCACATGTGATAGAGGGAGTTCCTGGGGTACTGCAGGCTCCAGAGGTGGGTTACACCCTCATGTCTCTGCCCTTCTCCCCCCAGGCATCCCCGAGACAGCTGGCCTCTATTTTCTTTGTGGTGTCTCAGGAGGCCTCATGCTCCTGCTCTGCATCATCAGCCCCAAGATGGCCTTTCTGCAGGACATGCGTGAGGCTTTCAAAGACCCAACACTGGYAAGAAGCTCAGAGCTGAGCAAGGCCAAGCTGCAGGACGAACAGGATGAAGACCTTCCTGATGACAGCTCTTCAGACTCCTCCTTCCGCCGCCTCACCCGCACCTACCGGGCTACAGACAACATCTTCAGCCCTGAGCTGACGGCAGCAATGGAGGGGGCAGCAGAGCATGGGGACCACCATGGGGAGGAGATCTGGATGCCCAAGGAGTCCAGCCCTTATGCCATCCACAAGATCAAATCGGCCACCAAATGAGAGCTGGAAGAGAGCTGCAAAGCAATGAGTCGCAGGAGGGAGCAACGCAGAGCTGGACATCTGGATGCCCTGCAAGGAAATGCTCCTCAGCCCTTCACTGAGGGATGCTGGAGTTGGGCTCCTCGGAGCTGGCACCGCTGGGATGGACTCGTGGGAGGTCCCAGACCACAGCAGCCACACGGCAGCCCTGGGGCAGTCCCACCACTGAGAGGGCTCTCCTGAGAAGACTCTTCCAGGAGAGGCATGGAGACCTCGGCCCAGACCCCTCCGTGGGAAGATGTGCTCCTGGGGTAATAAGGAGCCGCGGGTTGGCTTGCAGGGCTGCCAGCTCCTTGCTGCGAGCACATCTCTAACCCCCGTTTAATCAACAGGTTCTTGCCATGTTCTCTGCTTGCTCAGGCCTGCTGGCTCACAGCACTTAACCCTTCTCCATCCAGCCGCACCTGGGAAACCTGGTGTGTGTCAGGATCTGTCTCCTCCTGCTTCTTCCCACGTGCTGGTTCTCACCCCCGGCACTGTGGCTTGGATTGGTAGCTGGAGTTGACAACTTAGGGTCCTGGAATTGCAAAGATACGGAGAGGACAAGCACTGACCTTGGAAAGATGGTCTTGGTGGGGGTTGCCAGGGGCCACAAGTGCCACCCAGCACAGCCACGCGCCAGTAAGGAGGCCAGCAGTGCCTGGCACGAGCATCGGTGCTGCTCCTTCTCTTGGTCCCAATTACCTGGAGAGTGCTGCACCCTTGGGAGCTGTGGCAGCATGGAGGTGAGGAGGGAAATGTCCTCTTAGCRTTGCGGCTTTCGGGAGGCATTTGCTCAAATCCTGTGAACACTTGGAAATCCTCTCACTTTGCGTCCTTCTGTGATTTCCTCCTCGCTGCTTTTATTCCAGGCTGGCTGGAGAGCTCCGGTTTCCAGGTAACGGGCTAACTTGCTGGGGCCTTTTCCAGCAAATAAATGCAAAGCTCTGAGTCACAAAATGAAGCCATTGATTTTGAGCTCCCACCAGTCCCACTTGCTGGGCCCCAGGCGAAAGCCCATGAGGGCAGCCCACACTGCAACAAAACTGCCTGCCTTGCCCTGAGAACACCACCGTGACCCTCTGCCACGTGCAGAGGGCCAAGGCTGAGCTGTGCAAGTTGGTAGGAGCTGCTCTGAGGGCTCAGCAAGGCCAGGCGACCCTGCTCTCCACCAGGCTCTGCCTTCAGCACAGCAACATGGGGCAGGACTAACCCCAAGGAGCTTCATCCTGGTGTTAGAAGATTGGGCCCCAAATCTGCCGCCAAAAAGGGGTTACAGATGGTGGGTTGCAGCCTTGTCTTGCCATGGTTCCTGTGTCCTATGGGAGCTTGCCACCAGTCGTTATTTTTAGCCACCAAATCCTTCCCTGACTTCTGTTAGTAGTGGTGAGAATGGAGGAAAATGAACCGGCAATCCTTACCTTTTCTGCACAGATCAGCTCCTTTCCTAACACTTTTGTTTCTGGCTCTGGGCCATAGGGAGCAACAAGTTTGGCCAGTTTCTGCATAGAAGCAGAGGTGGGGAAAGGCAGTTCCTAAAGATGATTAAGGGAATGGAACATCTCTCGTACGAAGAGAGGCTGAGTGAGCTGGGCCTGTTTTCTCTGGAGAAGAGACGGCTCAGAGGGGATATGATTAACATGTATAAGTTCAGGAAGGGAGAATGCAGGGAGGAAGGGGACAGGCTGTTCTCACTGGTGGCCAGCGATAGGACGAGGGGTAATGGCCTCAAGCTGGAGCACAAGAAGTTCYGTCTCCAGGTGAGGAGGAACTTCTGTACTGTGAGGGTGACAGAGCAGTGGAACAGGCTACCCAAGGGGGTTGTGGAGTCTCCTTCTCTGGAGGTCTTCAAAACCCACCTGGATCCCACCCTGTGCCACATGCTCTAGGTGTGCCTGCTTGAGCAGGAAGGTTGGACTAGATGATCTGTAGAGGTCCCTTCCAACCTTAAATATTCTGTGATTCTGTAAAGATCCATGAATGACAACTCCCTGCTTTTCTTTCTGCAAGCCCAAGGTGCTCTGTTCTATAAGCAGTCCTGGAATGCATGTCCCCACACACCTTGTGGAAGGGTTTCTAAGTAGCTTTGGACATGGCCTGAGGTGCCAGAGAGCTGGTTGGGTCTGAGGGCTTCCTCCCGCTTTGAAAGGCAGCACAGGGCTGGTAGTGGCAGGGTAAGGGATTGCAGGAATCGGCAAACCACAGAAGGGATGAGGTTGGAAGGGATCTTTGAGATCATCTAATCCAACCTCCTGCTCAACAGGGTCACCTAAAGCAGGTTGCCCAGGACCATGTCCAGATGGATTTTGAGTATCTCCAAGAATGGAGAGTCTTCACGGAGAGAAGACCTCCCAGCTTGCTGTGTCCTCCCCTGCGCCCAGGTCCTTCTCTGCAAAGCTGCTCTTGAGCTGGATGCCCCAGTGCTGGTGCCTGGGGCTGTTCCTCCTGGGAGGGCAGGACTCAGCACTTCCACTTGCAGAACCTCACAGGTTCCTGCCTGCAGGTTTCTCCAGTCTGTCGAGGTCCCCCTGAGGAGCAGCACAACCCTCTGCTGTAGCAGCCGCTCCTCCCAGCTTTGCACGTTTGGCCCCATCACCCGAGCATGCAGCTCAGTTGGTTACGCAGCGTGAGAGCGAAGGGTGCTCTTCTGCACACCCCATCTCTGGCAGCAGGAGTTTCTCACCTGCGAGCTCCAGAGGAAGCTGCAGCAGGGGAAAGAGCAGGATTTTAGCCCGCAGCATTTTCAGCCTTTTCAGTGCAGCGCAGCAGAGCGTTTTGCAGGGTGTCGCTCCGGCGATGGAAACGCATTGGGCCGAGCCGCCAGAGGAGGGAGCCAACGAGGAAGAAATGAGAAGGCAGCAAGAGCGGAGGTTGAAGCGGCGCTGAGCGCTCCAGCCGGCAGGGCAGGAGTCGGGAAGGAGCCGGGAGCGGCGGCTGGCAGCCCGGGGAACACGTCCCCGTGTCCCTGCCTGGTCCTGCTGCCGCTCTGCGGGCTGGGGTCACAGCAACCCCGGCAGGGCCTGGGCATCCAAGGTACTCGGGGTGGGTTGGAGCCGCCTTTGAAGCCTGGGAGCATCCTTTGACCGTGCTACAACCCGGGAAAGCAAAGCTGTTCTGGATGCAAAAGCCTTCTCTGCCGGATAGACCTTGCAAGAGCCACCTCAAAACATGCACCCCAAATTACCCTTCCCTTTAGGACTGAGCCCACCCCTGTGACTTGCAGTCAGCAGGGTCAGAGCCCTTGGAAACTGGGTGCTGCAGCGCCTGCGGATCTCCCAGCATTGCCCCGATGCTTCCATAGCCAAGTGTCCCTTCCCACGGAAGGCTGATGGAGATTTCAGCTTGAACTGCCATGGCAGTGGTGAATGCCATGGCTTGGAATGCTGCACGCTGGAAAGCAGGGATCCTGGCAGCTGCCGTGCAGAAGTTCCCGTGCCGATAAACACGGAAGCGGGGGCTGAGGGATGGAGAGTGATGTGCAGAGGGTCTTGGAGACATGTRCCCCTTAGGGGACCTGAGGGACCAACAGGAAGGCTGAGGTCAAGCCAGGTTTTGCAATGGAAATCAAGGCGTTAGAGGCAGGAAGAGCCAGGAAGCTGGTGCACCCAAGAGCCGCTTTCCTGGCACCCTGGTGATTCAGGCGTTCAGCGAGAGCCAAGGGCAGCAGGGACCAGCTCCTCGGTGCAAGGCTGCTTTCAGGGACCAGCTCCTCGGTGCAAAGCTGCTTTCACAGCCACGCCAATGGGAAAAGCCTTGCAGCTACTGTCAGATCCTCTTAGCAAGGAAGCCAAGGGAATGCCTGCTGGGAGGAGGAGGAAGGATGGGGAATTCAGCGCACTGGGAGAACTGGTTGGGCGCAGGAAGCCGCTGGCGCTGCACCTGGAGMGCAGGGCATGGCTGCAGGGTGCCGGGCTTGCATCCCGCATTGGAAACGAGCCCGGGGTTCGGTGCAGCCCCCCCGGCAGCCCCTCCGCGCTGCCTCCCCGCTGGCTCCCAAAGCGGAGGGCTGAGGAGCAGCAATGCAAAACCGGCTCCGCACAGCCCTGCCGGTTCAGGAGCTCTGCCCCCCGTTTGCTGCAGGGCACCGGAGGGCTGTGTTGGGCTGGAACATGTGTAACAAGTTGGCCGGGCTCAGCTGCACTGCCAGCGCAGAGGGGCGGGGGGGCGACACGAGTCTGGGGCAGGGCTGGGGGGGCCGGGCCCCTCATGTGGGGCAGCTGCAACCGGGGTGRGGGGTAACAAAGCAGGAGAAGGGGGTACAGACAGATGTGCAACAGGGGGGGTATCCAGATGTGCAGACACAGACAGATGTGCACAGACAGATGTGCAACGGGGTGGGAGGCAGATGTGCAATGGGGAGGCAGATGTGCAAGGGGGAAGGCCCGGGCAGACGTGGACCCGGTCGAGCTCGGCCAGATGTGCGGCGTGGGGGGGAGGGGGGAGTGCCGTCCTCCAGATGTGCGCGGCCTCCACGCGCTCCCCGCCGCGCGCGGCCCCTTTAAGGCGCCTTTAAACCCGAGCGCGGCGCGGCCAATGGGAGCGGGGCAGGCCCGCGGGTGCCCCGCCTCTCCCGCCTTATCCCCGCCCTCCCTGGCGCCGCCCTCCGCCCATTGGTCAGCGGGGCCGAATTTTAAACCCTGCTCCGCCCGGCCCTTGGCAACCGCATCGCGGCGCGCGCGCTCATTGGCTGCCGCTCGGCCAGTGCGGGCGGCCGCCGCCGCGCTGCTATTTTCAAAAGCGCCGGGGCGGCGGCGGCAGCGGCGG